TCAACTATTTATGGTGTTTTTGTTTTCTATCATAGAGACATCAGCCAGTAAACAACCACCCATCAATTGTAAAGTATAAAAATGAAATTACATTAGCAACCCTGTAGTAACTATAGAGACTTGTGAGTGGGCTATTTTGATACTGACCAGTAAGAAACTAGAAAATGTAAAAATCCTCCTTTTCCCCCTTTAAAAACATTGTTCATAAAATTATTTTCATAAAATAAGTGCTCAGATCAATAATCCACAGTTTCTCCATGAATGGCCTTTACTAATGCCAGAAATAAATAAAGCAGTTCAATCTGCATCTATTATATTTTCTCAAGGCCGAGAATTTCCCTATTTATAGGTGTATGTGTGTGTCTGCACCATCTGACTGCTGAATTTACTGTCCACTGGAGTCTTGTATCTCTTGGTCTCTTTCTTATTTCTCATTCAGTCTCTCTCTTTAGTCTCTCTTTCATAATTGCCACATACACACACACACACAACAAGCCCAGTGCTGACAAATGCCTGGTTCTCCGCGGGCTCATTATAACCCTGTCCACCATTGAGTTACTTCCCATAAAACATGTGGCATTTCATCAGGAAAATGCTGGAAGGAAAACCTCTGTCCAGGGCCTGCTTATAATAGGTCTCCAAGGCTTTTGTGTTGATGCTGTGAGGACCCCAGGACATGCCATGTGGTCATGGAATGACCCCAAAATTAGAAAATCATTTACTTCATTTCATTTATATTGTTTTTGAGTAGGACCCGAGGTCTGTCATGTATACTAATCTAAGTGGCAAGCCTTTATGTTGCCTCATTTTGCATGCTTTTGAGTTATTCACCAGAGAGAATAACTCCTTAGGCTAATTGCTGTAACTGGAGGAAGTAAAATTAATTTCAACTCCTATATCACATTTATGTCAGACTCCACAAACCCTCACTCACAGGTTGACTCTTTTCCTGAAAATGGCCCCTCGACACCCAGCAAGAAACATTCACCTGACAATTTTTATTGAATCAGAAGTGAAGAGAAATTACTGGGGAATTGCTTGTCAACTGCATGTCTAGATAGCATTTTTAGATGGATTCATCTTCATTCTGTACATCATTGAGAACAGAAAGCCCTGTTTGCAACAAAACCAAGGTAACATGCTGACATCTGTCCTTGTAAGCAAAGTCTGCTTCCTCTGCATTTTGATGCTTCTACTCTCAGCTTCTACACATTTAAATGGGACAAACAGGGTTTAGTTCACACAGAAGGTTTTTTTGTGTTCCACTGTGCTTCTTTTTAATAGTTTTTTTTAATAGTCAATGTAAACATACACTAGATGGATGTCTTTGGTCATTCAGCACATCGCGCATGAGTACAGCGATCTTACAATTGTTTTGTTCTATATAGAATCTTGCTTCCGTCATGGAATAAAAAATAAAAAAGGTAATTGTGATCTCACCCAATTTTTTTATCTCACTATTTGAACTTTTATTCTTGCAATTCTGAATTTATATCTCACAATTCTGACTTTTTTAATATAAACCGAAGAAACTCAAAATTCTAAGAAGAGTCAGAATTGTGAGATCTCAGAAACAGAACTCAGAATTCTGACTTTTTTCCCTCACAATTCTAAGTTTATATCCCAAAGTTTTGTTGTTTTTTGCCCACCAAGGAATAAAAATAAAAATGGTAATTGTGACTTTTATCTCATGATTCAGATTTTTTTCTTGCAATTGCAAGTTTATATTTCATAGAATTTTTTTTTTTTTTTAAGTCAGAATTGTGAGATCTTTTGAGATAACTTTTGAAATCAGAATGTGGAACTCATTTTACGTAACCAAAGTAGAACCAAAAATTGGGAAACAGGAATACAGGCTACTGGGACAATTCTGCATCTCCTAATTGGCCCACTTAAGCCTCACAATCAGTCGTGTCATCTTCAGGACTTTCTGACCTGGAATAGTTTGTTGAGGAGGGACAAATAAAAATGTGATACACATAAGATACAGTCATATCCCCAGTGTCTCTGCTTGGGGAGTGTGAGAATGTGGGTACTACAATATACAAGTGTGAAATGAGCCAAACCTGTCTTCACTTGTTTGTCACAAAGTTTTATGTTTAAACACAGCACAAAGTTCTGACAGACACACTTAGCACATGCCTAGTTTGTTTAGCACTTTTAATGATCTAAGACAAATCAACCAAGTCAACATGTATTAATTTATACCATGACTTGAATAATATGAGCTGAGGACTACCGAAAATAGTGTAATTATCTAATTATAGTGTGCTTTATGTTTACTTATTCAATATTTAATTTTTATTACAAAGAAATATCTAGAAATTATGCATTGCTATTTTAAGATTCCTTTTTCTGTAAAACTGTAATATCAAGTAGATTTGAGATTAATGTGGTTGTCTACAAAACCCCCTAAAACCTGAGTTATCAACCCTGCTCCTATAGGGACCTAGTGTCCTGCAAAGTTTATTTCCAGCCCACTTCAGCACACCTGGCCTGTGACTTGTCAAGTGTTCCTGAAGACCTTGATTAGCTGGTTCAGGGGTGTTTGATTAGGGTTGTAGCTAAACTCTACAGGACAGTTGGTCTCCAGGAGCAGGTATGACAGCTTATGCCCTAAAACAAAAATTCTGTAGTTACTGAAAAGTCTTAAAGGAACAACTCACCCAAATCGAAACATTTTCTGAAAATTTACTCACCTTCAGGTCATCCAAGATGTAGATGAGTTTGTTTCTTCAACAGAACAGATTTGGAGAAATGTAGCATTACATCACTTGCTCTTCAATAGATCACCTGCAGTGAATGGGTGCCATCAGAATGAGAGTCAAAATAGCTGATAAAAACATCACAATAATCCACAAGTAATCCACAAGGACTCCAGTCCATCAATTAAAGGGTTAGTTCACTCAAAAATGAAAATTATGTAATTAATTACTCGCCCTCATATCGTTTCAAACCCGTAAGACCTTGGTTCATCTTCGGAACACAAATTAAGATATTTTTGATGGAATCTGAAAGCTGTCTGACCCTGCATAGACAGCAATGTAACTGAAATGTTCGAAGATGAACGAAGGTCTTACGGGTTTGAAACGACATGAGGGTGAGTAATTAATGACAGAATTTTCATTTTTGGGTGAACTAACCCTTTAACATCTTGTAAAGTGAAAAGCTGCATGTTTGTAAGAAACAAATCCATCAAGTTTTTAACTTCAAACCGCTGCTTTCGGCTAGAATATGAGTCTTCTTTCTTCAGTGAAAAAGCTATCTCATCTGAATCAGGAGAGAAATATGTACAGATCAAGCACCGATTACAAGCAAAAACAGTCCAAAACAGTTCTAAACAAATATGTCAGTGGATTTTGATATGAGAAAACCACAGGAGATGGACTTTATCAATGAAGGAAGAAACGTGTATTTTGGCTAGAAGTGATGGTTTAAAGTTAAAATGCCTTAAAGGGGTCATATGATGTTGCTAAAAAGAACATTATTTTGTGTATTTGGTGTAATGAAATGTGTTTATGCAGTTTAAGGTTAAAAAAACACATTATTTTCCACATACTGTACATTATTGTTTCTCCTCTATGCCCCGCCTTTCTGAAACGCGTCGATTTTTACAAAGCTCATCAGCGTCACACACTGCGGGCTAGAGTGAGGAACAGCCGGAGGGCTTGAGAACGGCGCGGCCGGCGGATTCGACGAAAGAGCGGTCGGCAGGCTTGCGGCAACCACATGTGACAACCCCGGGCTGGACTCCGCTTCGTCCACGATGAAAGCCGATCCGGCGATCCACAGCGCAAAGTTGTAGTATTTCCTCAGCAACCAGCACGGATCAGCTCCAGGCATGACGAAGCGGATATCGTCCTCTTTTGGAAGGCCAAACAAATTAGTTTCGCTTTCACAACATAACACCGTGTCGTTCATGTCTTCACGACATGGCGGCAGCAACAATACTACAGCGAGAATAAAAGTTACGCCTTCTTTCTTTGCGTGAACATATGCAAATATTCCCACATCGTGACATAGACATGTGGGGGCATGTTAGAACGAGCCGTTTTAGGTAGACGTGGTTGACTCAACTTTTATAAAGAATATCTCTTTGGATTTGAGACTTAGTCCTTGCAACTTTACATATCTTCTTTATGCACCAAGAGCTTGTAACACTCCAAAGAGAAAGGAAAAATTGAAATCGCATCATATGACCCCTTTAACAATGGATTTGTTTGTTACAAACAAGACATTAACTGACATTCATTCACAAGACGTTAACTCCAGTCATGTCAGAATGCAAGTATTGATCTTGTTACATGCTCTAATGCACTAGTCCTGTAAGAAAGTTATTTTCTGTGGCCACAAAATAATTTCTTAGAGTTGATATGAAATTACTCTGAATGTTCGCTGGACAAACAGTTTAGTTGATAGTAATTTTAATTCTGCTACAGTTACTGGCAGCTGATATAAATAATTGTAATTAATTATAATTAATTGTATAGACATTTCCCTTTTGAGTTAATTTGCTACAAGGCATTAGCAAGCAAAGTACTCAATTTATAGTAATGTATCATGGAAACATTTGCTCATATTATAAATAAACATCACTATTTGTAAATGTACAAGTTATTCAATGCTCAGAGGAACAGGTTCAGGAGACAAAAGTAAAGAAATCCTTCAACAAAAGACTGATATGGCAAAGGAAAAAACTCAAGAGAAAGTTGGGATTAAGAACAATGTTGCATTTGTTACTTTTATGGCGGAAGTAGTGAACTGTTCAGCGCAAACTGAAAGCCGGACAGAAAGAATCAGAATTATAATCAAAGCAGCGGAAAAGTATCTAGAGATCGAGGGTATCTCGGTGGATATGATTAATGAGAACTTAAAGATGCAGACAACATTCTGATTTGGAAAATAAACCTGATATAATATGTGTTCAAGAATCATGGCTCAAACCTCAGTTAAATTTTGTCGGTGTGATTTTCGCGGGTTTTTAATACGTGCTACAGTGACGCAATATCCGGTTCAGTAAGCGCTCATTCAAACTTTCAGGAGGAGGAAGCTGAAGCAGCGTGCGGTGAGTTTGACATGTCAGATGAATGCAATATTTGTCAGCTGTCTCACAGAAAATATCAAGATGCACGAATGAAAATATATATGTGGAATGAATACGCTAGATAGCGTGCACTGAGTAACTTAAGCAGAAAGTTAGCTAGAACAGCTAACTTAGTTGTTTACTTCAGTTGTGCAAGGGTTTACGCTGTTTTGCTGGCTCTGCAGAGATGAATGTGGCTGCATTTGTTAACTGCAATGAAGCGTCTATTTATGATACATCAGATGCATTAAATACCCCTGCAATCTCGGTAGACCTTAATCGGAGACATAGTTAAGTGATAAATGTTTACTGAAGTGCACCAAGTTAAGCGCGAGTGATATTATTTCAGTTTGATGGCTCGTGTAATATCGCTACCATTGACATTAATGGCAGCCGCTGTTCTGCAAAAATGTCAGTGTATAAACTCAATTACATAAAGGCCAACAGTCATTGCAACTAAACAACCTTTGCCTCGCCACAGATTCCTAGAAAATAAAGTGGACTCCTCTCTCTCTCTCTCTCCGATTGTCATGATCGTTTAGCTTGTGCCTCTCTCTTTTGTGCTGTGTGATAAAACTGCACATTTTAGAGTGGCCTTTTATTGTGGCCAGCCTAAGGCACACCTGTGCAATAATCATGCTGTCTAATCAGCATCTTGATATGCCACACCTGTGAGGTGGATGGATTATCTCGGCAAAGGAGAAGTGCTCACTAACACAGATTTAGACAGATTTGTGAACAATATTTGAGAGAAATAGGCCTTTTGTGTACATAGAAAAAGTCTTAGATCTTTGAGTTCAGCTCATGAAAAATGGGGGCAAAAACAAAAGTGTTGCGTTTATAATTTTGTTCAGTGTATAATATATAAAACAAGTAAATAGGCTTATACGAGAAACAAATTTTTACTTGAATAATAAATTAAGAAAATTAAAGAAAAACTGTGCAACAAGTAGCCTAGTGTGCAGAGTTTCGGTTCATTTTTGTGCTGCGCGAAAGGAAACAGACGGCAGAAAGCGGCATCCTATTTTTCTTTAGGCTTATTTTACAAAAGCACAAAGATTTGTTTTTATTGTGAATGTACACAAATAAAGGCAAACCTTTTACAATTCCGATTATCTTTAGGACTAAAAGGAGTAGTTTCTTCCACTGATAGAAGGAAAAAATTCAAGTGATTGCGCCAGCGCCGCATGCGCGCACACAATTACGCAATGCTACCGTACGCGTAGCATATTTTAACCATGCAGCAAACCTTTTTAAATATTTTGATAAATTACTGAAAAAATAAATAATTAAATGACTTTTTAAACCGTTTAACTGATTGTATTCATCGGTCAAAATTCTTACGGTCGGTTAACCGGTTAAACGGTTAAAATTATCATCCCTACTAGAACCCAATTGTTTCAATATATCATCTTTAAAAAAATAAATAAAAAATCCTTTGCCCTGCAAACATTATACTTCCTTACTTCTTTCAGCAATCTAGTTTCTTTTGTCCAGCAAGCATGTTCAGATTAGGTTGTGTTACTGTGATGTTTGTGGTATAAAATGGTGTATTTACTTTTAATCCTAGTGTGAGTGTTTCGAGGTCCTGATTTTGGAAAAGCAAGGAAAAAAACAAACGTGATGTCTGGGCTAATTAATTCTTGTTTGGAGTTGAGAAATCCCTTCAGGAATTAATTAGACACACCATGTATTGATTTTTCTTTCTTTTCCTGAATTCTGTGCTTTTAACAGTAAAGCCTAATTCACTTTGTGCAGGCTTAGTTCCTTTCCGTTCCACTTCGGAGGTTTCAATTTCCTTTTTGGAGTGCCTGGGAGAAATGCGTAGGAATATTCATAAGCGCTAACAACATCACTACGGTTCATCCTGATGCCCTGTGTAATGATGTCTTCCATACGCTGTCTGGGAGCGAATAGCACAACTGGATCAAAATGGTGAAGAAATATATCCGTAGTGCCAAGACATCTATATAAGGTTTTTTTTTCAGGGACAGTTTGAAAGTGAGAAATGCGAACATCAGTTCAGTCACCGCTGATTGTCATGCTTCTTTGCTTCTGAATGAAGGTGAGGAGACACATGACCGTGTTAATTTCAACTCTTTTAAACAACTCTAAGATTCATTCAGTATGCTTTCAGTGAAGTGTATTGTAAATTGCTTGGTTTACCGGCTTTTCATTGTGATGAGAGGTCGTGTCAGAGGTGGGCTTTCCATTCACCCGTGGTTTTCATTTTGATTGTATTTAAAAAAAAAAGTGAAGATGGAGACACTCTTACCCATAAGCCCACTCAGTTTAGCACACTCTCGCCCAGGGGCCTCAGACTCAAATTACCTGGAGGCCACTAGTCAGGTGGTGTTCTCAACAGATTCCTCCAAAGCGAGTCTAGAATTAATCTGCGTTTTGCCAGGGGATTTGAGGCTTAGCCAACAGATTTGAAGTCTATTGGTTCCACTTCCAGCTTGCTTTGCTTCTCTTTATGTCCTGTTTAGAGGTGCACATATTTGTTCTGACATTTTTGGTTCTAATCGTAGGACACAATGCATTGTGAAATCAGAAAATGGGTCGCCGTCCAATATGGTCAGTAGGGCTGGGCAATAAATTTTTCGATTAATCGTTTTTTTTTTAAATGACGTCGATTCGATATTGATTCTCAAAAGTCGCAAATCGATCTTTTCCGGTATTTTTTTCAGCACACATTTAAAACAATATCTCATTAACGGGAATCTTATCATTAGTCTTCTCCACTAGATGTCACCCTTATTTACCATGCGCAATGTTACAACAGAAAGCCTGTCATTCATTCAGCGCTTATCATGGCCATACGCCTGATTCACAATGCTCAGGTGAAATGCTATAATACTATAAATCTGCAGAAGCATTTGATATAACGCATAAGGCGCCATGATTTCCGCAATAAATGAATGGCGGATGGCGCAGCGCACTGTTTTGTTTACTACACACTAGGGCTGCACGATATATCGAAATTATCGAAATATCGCAAATGTAAATGACCTCAAAATGAGGAAAACAATCTAACAAAACACTTTAAAGACACCCAGATCAAATTAAAGAGTTCAAGCAGGTAAGTTTCATTTTAATTTTTAATATTTGTGTTTCCCATACATTCATTTATTTAATATCAAAACTCACCGCCACAAATAGATTTTCCAAAAGGCTTTGACTTCGTTGAATAAACATGAGCACTGCATGTGTCAAAGTCGAAACCCGGTGCGGGTGTTTTTATATCACTGTATTTCTGAAGGAAATGACTGTCTTCAGAAAATTATGGATGTCATTTTCATTTCATCTTGCCTGTAATGCCTGAGCAGCGTTTGTGAGCGCAGCGC